TAATTCCACGCCATTCTTGGAAAACAAGTGCTATGTCTAAACCAACCCCCCCCCCTTTCTATGTCATCTGTCTCTGTTTCACAGCAGATCTCCTACAGGAGGAAATCTCTGTTCTTAGACCTCAGCGCTGATTCACAAGACTGTGGCCTCCTGGAGTAATCCCTTGGAAGGAAGGGTGTGTGGCGAGGGTCTGCCATGTGATTCGATCTTCTCCCCAAATGTTGATCTTCAGGGCAAAACCTCTCCCTGGGGAGACGGTCCTGGGTGTCCACAAAGTGGTCTCAGACGTCATTCCTCTCCTTTTGGTGCCAATGTTCAAGGATCCCTTCCTTCCATTTTCTTTCCACAGGGGAAGAATGCGGTCCCACTCAAAGGGAAGAGGGAACAGAGAAGCCAGCCGATGCCGCAGGTAAGTGGGATTCCTAGAGAAGTATAGAAATATTTGCTATTTAGGGCAGTAGAGTGCCGTAGGATAGCTGGGGCATCACTTAAATGGGAATAATTGACCCAGTTATTCTAATCTTAGAACGGCAGAGATGTAAGGGGCCCTATGGATCGTAGAGTCCAGCCACCCTCAAGGAGGCATGTAGGGGAATCAAACTCCTGACCTCTGGCTCTACAGCCAGAGACGATCAACCATGTTGTAGCCTCAAAACTCTGTCCCCTGCAATGGCAGGATCTTCCCACCCCACAGCCAAGCTGGCCATGCCCTCTGTGAAGGGAAAGAGTCCAGCACTCTTGACCGCCCTGTCCTGACGCTGTGCTCTCGCCACACAGCCCTTCCTCCACTCTACGCAGTCGCTCTGGTGAAGAAGAACGGCAAGCACCTCAGCCTCTTCAGCCTGGGAGGGAAGCGGTCCTGCCACAGCTACGAGTACAGTCCTGCCGGGTGGCTGCTTCCTTCTCAGCACACCCTGGGAGCCCTGGGGAACGACTCCATCACCTGCAATCTCACCGCTGGTAAAGATTCCACCCAATAAGAAAAAGGGTGAAAAGATTCAGAAAGAGGGGTGGTGGAATGGGGCTGGGAGTATTCACAGGATCAGACCGAAGCCTCTGAATCGCACCACCAGCCCTGGAGAAGCTGGGATGCTGTGAGCTACAGTCCAAACTCTGCTCGGGTCATGGAACAGGAGGACCCTCAAACCTTTTGGTCTGTCGGTTCGCTTCAGGGCCAGGCTAGAGATGATGGCTGACTTGGCATCAGAGGACTGAACATTATAGCAGGACGTGTACAGCTTCCCTCATCACCACGTCTTGCAAATTAGTTTGCTGTTGACAAAGCAGGATAGAATAATTTATTTCAGCAGGTATACCAAAAACAAAGCCCCTTAAAACCTACAAGTTTCTGGGTGAGCTTGCAAGGGCTGTAGTCTGTTAGACACAGCGAGTGCAATATTTAGCTGAGCCTCTGGTTTGTATGTATCACAGCAGGCCCCTTCCCCCCTTCTTCCAAGCTTACCAGGGCTTCTTCTGGAAGGGCTGCATGCCGGGCAGCAGCGGCAGAAACCTTTGCAAAGTCTGCCTTGGGCAAAAGGAGGCCGAGGGAGGCAAGGCGGCATCCAGGTGTGCGGCCAGTCACAACGAACTCTACTATGGCAACTTGGGTGCCCTCAGGTGAGGAGGAAGGAAGAACGGGTGCTCAGGAGGGGCCAAAGGTTGAATCGCCTGCTGCCCCTCGTTGAGCAGCAACCCATCCTTGAAGGGAGAGACGGTCCATAAAACTGGTGCAGGGATGTGCCATGGATGCGAAATTGGGCATGCTTTTAAAATTAGATAGACCCTTGGACCGGGGAAGCAAGTGCCTTTCCCCTTTTTCCCATTGGGTTATATTCTGTCAAGTGCCACTAAGTTGTCTTCCTGCCGTTCAAAATGACAGCACGCTGCCCAAGTTGGCCTTGCATCGCTTTTGGAAACTATTCATTATGTCACCCTGCGGTTGCGGAGTTAAAACTTCAGTTTCACTTGATGGTGAGAAAAGTCTTGCTAACCAAGTGAGGTAAAGACAAGCCGTGTGCTTTTATATTTGCACTGTAGGCAGAACGTTTGTCCGTGCTAAAGGGGGAGAGAAGTCTGGCAAGCGGGGGTGAACTCAGAGGAGAGTTTGGAAAGGTTCCTTTTTTGGACTTAACGTTGCCCAAATCTCTCAGATGGCTGGGGTATTTTGGGAATTGTAGTCTGCAAGTAAAATTCCCAAGTCTCCTTCTGACTTTCAGACACCTGTAGGGGCATAGGAGCAGACCTTGGAAAACCGCTGTTCTGCTCCTCCTTCTGGGCAGGCTCATCCCAAGGTGGGGATCGGGCGAGGAGGAGCATGAGCGAAGCAGGCGGGGCCCAGTCAGGGCAGCCCAGAGTCAAGGTGCTGAGGCAAAGCAGAGGTCTAGCAAGGGGAGTCCTACAGAGCAGAGAGCCAGGTCCACTCAGGGTGGGAGATCCAAAGCCCTGGTCCAAGAAGCATCCAAAGTCAAGGCCATCCAGGAAGAGCTGCCAATAGACCGGGAAGTTCTTGGTCCACAGGGCCCTGATCCGGGGTAACATGAGGGGTGGCTTGGTCTGCTAAAGGCAGTGTGGCTACGTTGAGGATGGTTAAGAAGAAGTTGGTGAGCCTGAGCCAAAGCTACCTTTTACCAAACTGGGCCATATTCCCCCCCCCCTTTTTAAATTTTTTTTTACGTTGAGGATGGCTAAGAAGAAGTTGGTGAGCCTGAGCCAAAACTACCTTTTACCAAACTGGGCCATATTTCTCCCCTTCTCCCTTTTTAATTTTTTTTTCCTAGATGCCTCTTTGGTGACCCTACTGGAAGAAGTTTTGGTGATGTCGCTTTCTTGGAACATCATAATCTGCTCGAAAATATTCAATGCAAGTTTTTTATACTTTAAGATTCTGAGTAAGAGAACAATAATAATCATGCGCTGCCAGGTCAATTCTGACTTCTGGTGACCCTTTTCAGGATTTCCCAGGTAGAGAAGACTCAGAAGGGGTTTCCCCTCTTCCCTTCTTCTCGGGGCATCGCTGGGACTGCGCAGCCGGACCCAAATGGCCACCCCGGCCGGCTCTTCCCCCCCTGGAGGCACTCCTAACCTTTGGCTCCACAGCCAGAGACCTAATCCACTGAACTATCTAGCTAGCTCTCAGTAAGATGCCAATGTAATCTTTCAGTGTCTTGTAGACATGAACGTCCATTAAGCAACTTACCTGATACCTCTCAGAAAATCCAACCTGTAAATTTGGGGGCAAGGTCAAACTTCAGAGGGAACTTCATTCTTCTAAAGCAAGCACAAAACCTTATGCTGGCGGAGGGCTTCTGGTAGCCCAAAACAGTCACATTTCCGAGGCCCACAAAGTGCTAATAGATTTCTAGACAGATCTCTCCCCCCCTCGTTTCTGTTTGCTGGGCAGAGACCTTGTCCGTGCAGGGCGAGCTCTTCCGGCTCTGCAGTTCTCCGCTGATGATGACGGTGGTCCTGATCATGCTACTCTTTTGCAGATCTGGAGAGCTCGGGCTGGGCGAGGGGATGGGCTCCTGGGGACTTGGAACTCCTGTGCCCGGATGGGGGCCGTGCCCCGGTAGCAGACTGGAGGTCCTGCAACCTGGGCCGTGTTCCCCCCAGCATCGTTGTGACACGACCGGTGACGGTAGCCAAAGTCCACAACTTCCTGGCCAAGTCCCAGGTGAGTGTGACGTGGGTGGGCTGAAGGAAAAGATGGTTTGTGGGATCTCGCTGGTGATGGGTCTCTTTCTCTGTGCAAATTCAGAGTTGAGTCGCCCAGTCCTGAACCGTGGTGGCTCCTGAGGGAGCACGGTGGGTTGAAAGGCCGCGCCGAATATTTTGGGAAGCAACTGACTGTCCAGATCTATTCCGGTGTGAGGTTGCATCTGGTTTTGGAACACCCTGTGTGATTGCCAAGAGGAAGGCAATTTATTTATTCTGTTATTTGTTTTAAATATTGATAGGACATTTATTTCAGCAACGCCATTAATTCTCTGGGACTTGCCGGGACGGTGGGCCTCCCTATCGTTCTGGACCCCACTCTTCCTTTTGCAAAGGGCATCTGAACTGGGTGTTGGAGGCACTTGGTGGCCCCACCCCAGCCACCGACTTATTGCCCTGAGCAAGAACGGACGGCAGACCGTTCCCAAAAAGGGTTTGTCAGGCACCGGCTTTGTCTTCTCATTCATGGGCAGGCAAGCGCTTAAAAGGGGGGGAAAAAGGTCCTTCCCCTTAAACGATGGCAAGGGTTTTTGTTTTTTTTTTAATTGATGTCTGGATCATTGTTTAAAACCTTGCCTCTGTTTTATTTTACTGGCTGATCTTTGCTTTGGTTTACTTTGTGCTTCAATTGTTTCGTCCCATGTTTCAAAGATTTTAATGCAGGGGTCCACACAGAGAACTGGCTGCTGCCTCCTGCCATCGGCTCCCATGAGGTCCTGATGGTGAAAGGTCAGAGGATAAAGGGGTTGTTCTTGGAGGCCCGTGGAGGGCACCCAGTGGGCTCCGTTTCAGTGTGTGCTGCCCAAAGAATGTCAGGTGTAAAGTGACACAGATGTACTTCAGGGCAGGCAAGAGAGTCAGGAAGCAAACAGAAACAGCTCAGTACAGTATCTCTGGAGGGGCGGAGGGGGGGCTCCCTTGTAGGCACTGCTCCATGGCTCTGCTCGTCTCTTTCTAGGAGCCAGGCACCAGCCCTGCGTTCCAGCTCTTTCAGTCGCACAGGTACGGGGAAAGTGACCTGCTCTTTAGAGACGCCACTCGCCACCTGATCCTCACAAGCCCCCTGGACTTTGAAGCCATTCTGGGGGAATCTTTCTTCCGCCTTGCAGAATCTGTCTTCGACTGCACACCTGCCGGTAAGCCGGGCTCTCAGAAAAGGGCTGGCTGGCAAGCTGGGTATCCCTGCGGTCAGTTGGAGTTGCCCTAATCCTCAGCCAAAGAAAAGCAAGCTTGTTTGCAGCTTAAAGAACTGCAAAGCCCTCTGCAGAAGAGAGGTGAATGTCCTTGACACTTTAAATCAGTTCCCCATCTAATTGCAAAGCTTCCCGTTTCCTTCTCTTAAGAGCTGGTGTAACGGGGAAGTAGCAGGAAGGACAGTTATACAGAGCTCAGCACAGCCATTCGCTCCCAAGGGGAGTCTCAGACCCCACAGTCTATATGATAATCCTTTCTAATAGTCATGTTGGGTTGTCCAACACGTCTCACCTTGAAAGCAGAATGTAGTGATTACTGTATAGGGGCGTGCCATTTGGGTTGTTGGGATCCTGCTTCCTCTCATTCTGTATTCTGGGAGGTCTATCTGCCAGACCCACACCTAAATTGCCCTCACCTAGAGAAAAGCTGGGCTGGAAGGCTTCATGACCTGGGCCAGGCGGAGCTCCAGCCAAGCTGCCTGTTAGAGAGGGACGTTGCCCCGAGCGCTGGCTGGGAGTTCCCTTTCATACCGGCAGCTTCCCCTGAAATGACTTCTAGGAGGTGTGAAAGGTGGGCAACGGGGGGGGGGGGGGGGTTTTCCCCTCGCGAAAACCACCTCCCAAGCCTCTGGGGCTTTTGTTGCAAGTGCCGCCACTTGAGGACATGAGAACGATGGTCTCCTTTCCCGGGCTGCTGGAAGGATCCCAAGCCTCTGGGGCTTTTGTTGCAAGTGCCGCCACTTGAGGACATGAGAACGATGGTCTCCTTTCCCGGGCTGCTGGAAGGATCGCAAGCCTCTGGGACTTTTGTTGCAAGCGCTGCCACTTGAGGACATGAGAACGATAGTCTCCTTTCCCGGGCTGCTGGAAGGATCGGTGATATCACATCTGCAAGGTTTCTTGCAGACGGAAGGCAGGTGTTAGGCAAAGGCGTGGGTCCGCAGAGGGAGGCCAACGGCATGCAAAGGACCAAAGGCTCTTTCCAGGCTGGCTGGGATATTTCACCTCCTTCGTCCTGGAGGGAGGTGCTGGGGAAGGCAGGTGGTTACTGAGCCGCTCAGCCTTTTTAGCCCCCTCCGGAAAAGACTGTCAGGGGCACATCCACACTCAGGGAGGTGGGCTGCAGAAGGCAGGATGGAAGGCATGAATTCAAATCCCACCCCGTGTTGGTTTGCAGGCATCCTGGACTTCTGTGAACAGGATCCTTGCACGGAACCCACCTGGCCCTGATGGCCTGGCCGGAGCTCAAAGGGAAAGGAGACTGTCGTGCAGATCTGGTTATCGTTGCCACCAAGAGGACACCAAGATGCCGAGGGGTTTTCTTTGGGGCCTCAGCCGCTGAGCTGTTTTCCATAGCAAATGCAGAGCCGGTGTGTGTGTGTGTGCTCAGCCACTGGTGCCTCTTGGAACTTCAGGTTAGAAGAGTAGCTTATCCAACCGTTAGTCCACCGAGGAGCACATTTCCTTTCCTGTTGAGCCACAGGAGTGGAGAACCACTCTGCAGACCACCAAGATTGCTCCAGCTTCAGTGGTTTTCACCCAGAGGCTTGTCCAGATCCGTCAGCACAGCTACTCCTCCATGAGCAGCATGGAGCAGATTTGTCGGTGGAGCTCATGGCATCTCCACAAGGAACGCACCCAGTCAAGCCAGGGTAAAATGCCACCCTTTCCCCTCACTCCCAACCCCCTTTTGGAGAAAAAGATTGTATTTGCTTGCGCGTTTTGCATGTCCTTAACAAGAAAACCATGGCACTTTCATTCCATTGTTCCTTGAACTGGGAGGATGCTTTGAGTTCGTTGCTCATTGCCGTAAATCCCACGGCGTTTTGGCTGCTCCTGGGGGTGTCCCTCTGCGTGACGCCTGGTCTGTGGCACGGCCAGGCAGGCGCCTGCAGGACAGTCAGAAAAGGAGTGGGCACTGCTCCGGCAACAGCCCTTCGGCAATCACATCATGCAGTAGGGGTCCCATCAGGGGAAATACGTTCTTTTACTCCAATGTTCAAACAAATGAAAACTTGGTGACAGCCTATGGTTTCTTGGATTATCACTGCATGCATTCAAAGTTGCTTGAGAGGAACGCTTCCCGCAAGGGGCTCTACTTCTGGGAAGCAACTGCTTGGTAGGGCGTTGGGCCATCCTGGAAGCAGGGGCCGCCTCTCTAAACGATTAACCGAAATCAGGCAGGATCCACAGATTCTGGCCACTAAGGTGCTCTCCGGCCCGGAGTGTCAGGGAGCATTGCTGCAGCTCTTTACTTCCAAGAGCTGCACAGCGTGAAAACTCCTGGCACATCTGCTTCTCCTTTGTAGCCTGTGTAGACCACGCAGTTGGCTTACTCTGTGCCAGTGGCAGATGGCTTCGGAGCATTCCTGAGCTGAGCCGCGGCGATAGTCCTGCCCACTTCTCTGCTGTGCCTAGATGAGACCCTCGGTTGCCTTTCATTCCCCACCAGAGCGCCAATCAGTTAGGGAGCTCCTCTCCGCAGCATTCGAGTTTTCTTGCTCAGACAAGTCTGGATAGAAGTCTCTACCCAGCTAGGGGTGTGGAAGACTTCGGCCTAATAGTTTCAAAGGTATTTAGAGCACGGTGACGTGTTCAGACGGCCCCTTCCTCTACTGAATTCTCTCCCCCCTTCTCTGGTCAGGCGGCTGCCCTCCTCTCACTGGCGCCTACTTTTCAGCTGACCACTTCCTCCCAAAAGAGCTCCATGTTTTGTTTTGATTTAAAGAAAGGAATTCCCTTCAGTAAACACTTAAAACATTATAGGTTTCTTTTTGTTTATTTCCATAACTTAAAGGAAAAAAAGGTGAAATTTAAAATTCAGGCTTAAGTGGAATTTAAAAAAACAACAACCAAAAACAACACACGAGGATGGTATGACAAGCGGGAGCTCCTATAAAAGTGTGCAAATTTCCATTTGATTTTTATTGAGATGAAAGGCTTAAAAACAAGCTTTTCTTACCAGCTGTTTTGGGCGACAAACCACACAAGTAGCCGCAGCTCCATCCAAAAGGTTAAGATAAGCCAGAAAAGCTTGACACGGACTCAAGATCTGACCAGTGACCATCTGGGAGAGCACCCTTCCTTACGATGCCCTTGCCACTGGGCACTGGAATGAGTCTTTTTTTAAAAAAACAATTACTCAGGACTTCATTCAGGGAGGCACAACTTTCCCAAAGCAGATCGGACTGCTCTTTGGAGCCCTGTCGCCCCTGGAAGGACACCCGAGACGGCTTGGCTTTTTCCTGAGGGGGGACCGGCTAGAATCTTTTCCATGATTGTACTGCAAGCCTCAAAGAGTCCTGTCGGAAGGCAGACCTTCCCAAGGAGCCTCCTCGGCCTCTCTCTCTGAGGCGCGGAGAGGGGAAGATTTAGGATGCCGCCAGCAGCAGCAGCAGCTCCATCGTCACAGTTGCTGCTGCTGCTCCCCCTTGGTCCGTGGGTCCTAGAGGACAGTCAGCAGAAGCACACACAGATGGAAAATGAGGGGTCTGAGGGCCAGGACAGCCCAGGGAAAGAGACTGCCCCCCCTTTCAGCAGCATCGTGGTGCGGGACCTCCTCTCTTGATGGGGGGTTCACACGGATCCTGCCCTGTGACTCCTTCTCTCTCTAGTGAATGGCAACACAGTTTTCTGACCTGTCGGTCCTTGCGGGCACCCTCCGAAGGAACCCCTTGACAGAAATGTCACTGCAAAAGGAAGTTGACAGCAGCAAGAACGGCAACAAAAAGCACACGCATGAAACATACCGGCAGACATTTCAAAACTTCACCGTGGCAGATGAGCCGAAGTTGGACGCATTCATCCCGCCTAGCACCACTCGAACATCAACTCAACAATCGAATCGGGGAATTCTGCGTCGGAATCGGTCCTAGTGTGGTGTGTCCGAAGCCCCACTATGGGATGAAAGGATTTTGAATGTATTTCTAATGACGAGTCAACTTCGGTCATTCAAAACGTTACTTTCGGACCTCCTGTTGTGACCAAGGTATCGGTTGACAGTCTCAGGTATCCACTGATCTGCATGCAGTCACAAACGCGTCATATCAGACAATCACAGACAAAACGGCCCGCGGGGTCTCAACAACTAAAGACAATTCACAATGTTCATTTTTATCACACTGGGAGAAGATCATCCAAGCAACGAGGGAGGGAAATGAAATCCACCTGTCCTTTTAGGCACATGCGTGGCCCTGCCCTTCGGCCCCCCTAGATGGCCGTGCGGAAGGCCGCTTCCTTCCTGAACCACTCCCAGGAACGGCGGAGAAGAAAGTGGGACAGGGCACCCTTCCGCTCCTGGGGTTGGCCTCGGTTCCCGTCACCGGCTATTTCCTGGATTCTAGAGCTATGCAAGTTCTGGAGGTATCCATGGTGGGTGGGGTGGGCAGGGGTAGAGAAAGTGCACATTTTATAGAACAGGGCGGGGGGAGAGGAAACGAACTTTGAGCCATTCAGCCATTAATGCTGGCCCAAATCCTAGGCACTGCAGACAGCTCAGCAGCTGCTGTTTGCCACGGGAAAACCTTCACGGAAGTCAGAGACTTCACAGAGTACCCCAGAGCACAGCAGCATCCCTAGGGCGGGGCGTGGGTGTGAATCACATTTCCTGAGAAGCACAGCCACCGACCACTCCTGGCTGCTTCCCAACTTCCACGTGCCGAGACCCCATAGTGTCCGGCCATCCACACTTTACAGATTTGCTTATTCTTAACTGGTTCAACTCAACCAGCTAGGTAAATGCTTGGCCCCGCATGTGCAATGCTCAGGTCAGAACCTGAAGGGAGAGATGATGATCAGGGGTGGAGTTGGGGAGGGGGGGATGGTGCCCCTAGGGTGGGGTGGAACAATCCAGTCTGGTGGGTCACCAATTCTGGGAGAACGGCTGTCTTCTCTTATGCGTATTTCCCCCCCTCCCTTGGGCACCTACACGATCCTTCCATACCACTCAAAGGAACACAGTGGAGAACGAGGCAGGAGAAGGCTCAACAGGGACTCTTTCCCTCCTCGCTCCTTTCCCCCGCCCCAGAGCCGGGGAAACTTAAAATGGTTAAAATGTCATTTCCTAGGCAACCTGGACCCCATCTTCCTGCACCCCATCCAATGCATGGGGATCGGGGGGCCCTCCAGGCAGCACGTCAGCGACACCAAGCGCAACAACTCCTCTTCGGGTCCCCCAGGAGGCTCTTGCTGCTCACAGAGGGCAGAATCACTGCACCTGTTTTGGTTTCGCCCGAGTAAGAGATGCCTGTGAATTACATATGCTCGGGTGTGCCATCTTGCCAGTCGTCATTCCCCACTTCTGAACCCCAGCGCCCGGAGGGGGTCCTAAAAGTGAAGCGCAGCCGAGGCCAATTCCAAGCCTGCCACATCAGGGAGTCCTTGAACTCCTGTTATCTTTCCCGGTGCCTCCCTTCTAGCCTGTGACCTGCCCTGTCCGCCTTCCCTGGAGATTTGTTCAGAACCACACACGTTTCCAGTGACAATGGAGGAGGAAGACACAGCCGTTGCCCTGTGCTCGAGGGAGCGAAGGGTTCTCCTCCAGTGTTTTAAGAGAAAAGCTTAATGACCCACCACCACCCCTAATTGGGACAGGTCTGTAGGCAGGACCGGGTCACTGAGAGGCCAGAGCTGAGTGGCGAGTAAGGGAAGACTCGGGGCCCTGCAAGAGGAAGGCTGAAGCAGAAGGCTCGGCGCCACCTCCAGCTTGTGGCCTAACCTCAACTGCCAGGAGCATCCCTCTGCTCCTCCTGCTTGGCAAAAAACGTTTCAAGGTCTGTCAGTTTCTGAATCAGGAGGACATCCAGTTCTCTTCCCTCCACGGCGGCTTTTTGGGCCCGGGTGAAACTCCCGGTCACTTTGACTCTGCCGCGAACTTTCCTCTTCCGGGGAACGGTGAAGTCCTGGAATTCCAAAATCCGCTTCCTCTTCTGGTGGCTGATGGAGACCAAAGAGCCGTTCCTCTCCTTGGGCTCCTCAAAGATGGTTTCCAGGCACCTGGAAGGCAAAGCCAAAAGGAGGCAGCTTAGAATAAGACAACCGCAGAGGGATCGTCCACGGCCCAAAGACCAGGCCACGAGGAGCCCAGCGGGGCCAAGAGAAGGCAGGGAGTGAACAAGACCACTGAACGCTCAGACTCCAGGCACTCCCAAGGATCAAGTCTCTAAGAGCAACTTTTTTTGTTTTGTTTTTGAAAAAGGGGGAAATAACAAACATGCAAAGTAGAGCAGTTGCCCTGGGGCCAAAGCGGAAGGGGTGGAGAAGGGAGGACATGGACCTGCGCATTTAGATACAGACATTGAGCTTCACTGTGAAGACGCACGTGCACGCGTGCCCAGGAGGACTCTCCTGTTGTGCTTAGTCAGCTTCACTGTGAAGACGCACGCGCGCCCAGGAGGACTCTCCTGTTGTGCTTAGTGGACGTGTACAAATAACAAAAGTCGGTTAGAACAAAAATGAACTAAAGTGGGACAGAACCCCTAGGATGTAAGCCGTCTGCCACCACCCACTGCCACCACCACGCCCGACCACATAACCCATGGACAAGTGAGGCCAGAAACAGAGGCTGGAGACAGCCTAGGAGTGGAAACCCTTGACCTAAGAAAGCACCTGAGTGTCGCAACAGTTTGATGACTGCTCTTCCAGACTGAAGGACAGGATTCATCTCACCAACCCGAATGGATGGCCTTGGCCACCTCTCTGTCGCATTCATTTGCTCTTGGCTCTCTCTCTCTCTCTCACACACACACGTCTTCCAGACTGAGGGACAGGATTCATCTGACAAACCCAAATGGATGGCCTTGGCCACCTCTTTGTCACATTCATTTGCTCTTGTCTCTCTCTCTCTCTCACACACACACACGACTGTTTCCGGCCCGAGAGCTTCTCTGTGCAACTGGTCCCTGCGCCTCCTCCTTGCCCAACAAGCAGACACCTTGATGCTAGAGTCTGTGTGGTCTCCTACAGCACATCCCCTGCCTGACAACCTCCCCGGGGAACAGAACCAACCTGGTCGGAGGGGGAGACTTGTAGTTCTGGTTGGTATAGATTTCTTCCAAACTGAATTCTGTTTTCTTTAACCTGGAAGAATAGGAAAGGGGCAGTTAGGGTTTCTCAGCAATCTGCTTCTTCTCAGACATTAGGTCCCATAGGCAGCTGGAACGCCTCTAGGTCGCCCCAAGGTGCCTGCTCCGCCGGACCCCAAGCATGGGGTCGTGGACAAAGCGACAGACTGAGAGTTGGGGAGACCTGGACTCAAGTCCCCCACTGACCGAGGAAGCTCGCTGGGGACAGGGGGTGGAACACCCCTTGCACAGATCCCGCTGCAAGCCCTGTCGGGGCCACGTGACGGCACACCCCCATCAAGGGCCCCGGCTGCTTCTCTGTGGTGTCTGGCTCCGGCCGTCCTCCCTGCGAAGCTGATGGGGCAGCCCAGGGAGGCAGGCTGGGTCTGTGCACTCAAGCCTCCCAAGAGCTGCGCTGGCGGCTGCATCGCTCCCTGCCTTCCCGCTCTGTTCCCACGCAGCTAGCCTGTGGCTCAAGCCGGCCGGGTGCTTCTCAGGGCGCCTCTACCGTGTCATGGGGAGCACCAGCCTGACACCTGTTCTGCACAGCTCCCGGCAGAGCAGATGCCAGGCTGGTGCTCCCCGGGTGTCATAGCAGAAATGCCAGTGCAGCGGCTCACGTCCCTACTTACCTTTTGGGTCTGGGAAGCCCCATGGGGGTGAGGTTGGGGTCTGGCTTAGGAATCGTCTTCCGAATGCGGATCTGGGACACCCTCTTGGGCCTCTTCTCCGATTCAGCCTTCATGAAAGAGGAGGAGGAGATGGAGTCGGGACGTGCTTTCAGGCACAGTGGGCGCTCCCGATTTCCCCCCCTCTCCCTAGAACAACAGGCTCTGGGCCACGGAGCCCCCCCCCGCGGCAGCCCCAGGGGAGGCTGAGGGGGGGGCAGGGCCGGGGCGAGGAAGGAGCCAAGAGCCAGAATGTACTTTGGTAGGAAACAGCCGTGGTTCTCCAAGTGGGGGCCCCCAAAGGTTCTTGGACGGCAACTCCCAGAAATCCTGGCCAGCCCCGTAAGTGGTGAAGGCTTCTGGGAAGTGCAGTCCAAGAAGGTCTGGGCACACCTCCCCACTTTGAGAACCACTGGGCTAGTAGTAGAGGAGGAGAAGGGATTTCAGGGGGTGCTGCTCGCCACGCCAGCCTTTTCTCCTTCTCCCCGTCTTTTGTGGCTGCCGCCCTGTCAGTGGGGCAGAAGGAGAGGGACAGGGGATGATGCCCTGCAAGCCGGCACACAACCTTCCTTCCCCACTCTCCCCCCCCCACACTGGCTGGGGACCCATGCCATTCGGATACGCGGGACCCCGTGCTGAATTGCACACAGGTTCCTCTCCGTCATGACTGCCATCTACTCTGGACGTGTGGGCAGCAATCTCCCTGCTGGCGAGTGGAGACGTGGCAGCCAGAAAGGGTCATTTAGATCTCAGGCGGGTGCCTTCACTTCGGGCGACAAAGCAGGTGGAGTGTTTGTCCCAGGTCGGTTTGGTATTTTCCCCTCTTCTCCCTTCTGCCCACCAAACCCCTTGAGGGGAATCGGGCGCCATCCTCTAACACTCCACTGAAATGCACATTTTGAACACATGCCAGCCACATGTCAGGGCGTGCTGTTCGACCCACTTTTTCGAGGGGAGAATCTCTCCGAGGCAACATGGGGGCAGAAGCGTCCAGTTCATCCAAGCGATGGGCCTGAAACTCGGGTGCAGAAAGGCCAAGGCGAGAGGGTGCCGGCTCTGCAACTGGGCGAGGGGTCGGCAAGAACGCAGGAAAGGGAGGCTCCCACCTAAGAGGAAGAGAAAGAGGGAGGGAAAAAACAGGCAGAAGGGGGAATGCTTTCAGGTGCCACGGAAAGCCACTGGATGTTCTCTTTGCTGTTATGATGGGGGTGCTGGAGGGGGAAGGAGCAGCAATTTAAGGGGAAACGGAGAAGCGTCTTAATCCTAAAGCACCCTCCCCCCTCCCGGCAAGTCACCCTAGGAACATGCAGCGCCTTAGGCATAACTTGGGTTCTTCCAAAGCAAACTTTAAAATGAATGCACTTTACTTGACATCTGATTCCCATGGTCTGCTCTGGACCTGCCCTTACGAGATAAATAAAATCTTGGGAGCCAGACGCTACCGTATTCATCCTTTGGCCTTGCTTGATCCTAAAGGGGCCTTGAAATGGTTTGGGGGGGGGTGTGATGACCAGGAAGCAAAATATAGCAACCCCTTTCTTTAAATAGGTTGTCACTGTAAACTGAAATATCTTGCAGTCGTAGCTATTTCCAACCCCCCGCCTCAAATGTTCAACGACACCTCCTCCCCGCACATCTTGTCTTTTCCCTCTTGCCAAAGCTAGAGACCATCCACAGACGACGCATGACGGGAGCAAAAGCAAACCCCCTACGCCACCGAGTGGAGGCAGACGGTCTCCCCGCAGGACACCGCCGGCAGGCAGCTGGGCCGCGGCCCGGCCAGGAGGCTGAGAGGTGGGAGAGAAGGCTTTGCGCCGGAGAGACCAGGAAAGGAGACTCAGGAGAAGGAAAGATGGGCCGGAGGGACGCGAGGAAAAGGGGAACCGCCCGGGTCCCACCTCATGCAAAGGATGGTTTTGTTTAACACCAGGTGAGCGAAACTCAGGCACTTGGCCAGAAACGACAGGGGCCCCGCCACAAAAGAGAGCCACGATTCCTGCTCCCGGATGCCACCAGGAATCCTGGCTCACCTTTCACTGAGAGGCGGCAGCCCCCATCCCCACCGTGTTTCAGCCGAACCAAAAGCTCCCGCGGCCAATCCTGGTTGCCTTTTTTCACAGAGCAAGACCGGACAGGAGGCCGGGCAAGCAGGAATGCCCCTGAACCCAAGGTTGGTCTCCTGGAGGGCAGCCACACGCCCCTTCCTTGGCACCAGCAGGATGCTGGCGGGAGGCGTAAGAGGGGAAGAAGGCTTACCCACCTGGCATCCTCCGTCACAGCAGCCGAAGCTTCAAGGAACTGGTCAGGTAGTGGGGGCAACGTGGCAGAGCTGGTTCGCAGAGAGGGCAGGCGGGGGGGGGACCACAGAAAACAAAAAGCAGCCAGTTAGTGCCACACTACAAAACCCCAAGAGGCCACCGGCAGTCCCAGCAAAACCAATGCCAACCCCCTCTTTGCCTCCTCTGTGAGTCCCTCTCTCCTTGGGCAAGATCCTTTTTGGAAGCAGGAGACGAGGGAACCTAAAAGAGGATGGGGCTGGTTTTCCCCTGGGGAGGGCACTGAGAAAAAGCTC